AAAAAAAAAAAAAAAAAGGGATAATATGAGAGAAGGAGGAATAAAATATTGGACAAAAAGAGATAAATCTCAATCGGGACGTCGATTAGGACGAATGTCAATGCCACGTCTGATTGATTTTATTGGACAGGGCGTTTCCCATTCGCCTGTTTCTCCCATCGAACGTAACGCGTGCCCCATGGTGCGAAACCTTTTCTCCCAGGTGCTATATAAGGACCAAGGGACGCGGTGGACACCATAAGACCGGACCAAGGCACCTTGGCGAGTACTGTACCTCAGATAGCGTTGCAAGGAGCCTGCGTATCGTTGACGAGATGAAGAGCCTGGTAAGTGTTTCTCTCCACGTTCGCTCAACCTTGATTTTTCTCGGTTAGCCGAACCGTAGATTTTCTACCTCTGTTGCTGCTTCCCACTTCTGTCGAGTCATTAGAGAAGACACGTGAAGAAATTCAAACAGTCCGTTCGAAACGGGAATTGAATCGAAAATTCGCAAGTTCCGATTTTGGAGAATTAGAAATTGATAGGTTAGTGATTTTGGGAATTATACATTGGCGCGTTTGCAATCTTAGAAATCAGAAATTAATTGGAACTAGTAATTCTAAGACTTAGGAATCGGTAATTTGAGTAATTGAAAATTTTGCACGTCGGAAATTATTAGAAATAGGTAATTCTGGGGATTGGGAATTAGTAATTTAAAAAGTCGGATGTTAGTGATTTAGTAGATAAGTAGAAATTGATAGATTAGAAATTAGTAAGTCGGTAAATTAGTAAGAAATTAGTTCAGAAATCAGGAAATTATCGAAATTATAGAATTATAGAATTGCAACAAAATTTATGGACTACTGAAGAAGTATCTGTAGAAATTATAGAATTTGTAGAACAAAATATCTTTCTTAATTAAATTTTTATTTTAACAAAATTACCAGTACCAGGAGTATTGAAAATTAATAAACTTTCGTACTGTAAATATTTCATTATTTTCCCCGTAGTGAACTAAATTTCAACCGTATGACAAAATTATAAATAAAAACAGTTCATAGTTAATAGTTAAGTTACAACAGTTAATAGTTAATAATTAAGAACGGAAAATATCGGAATATATTTATCAAAAAAAAATCCAAATTCTCAATAACTGGCTCGAGACGCGTGTTCTAGTGATTAATAACTATAACCTCCCTTCTTCCAGATCGTTTTCTCCGCTTTGTTGGCAGCAGTGTACGGTCGTCCGAGCTTGCTACTGTCACCGTCAGTGGCAGCACTGGCGGCGCCAGTCACCATCGCAAGACTGGTGCCAGGTGCTCCTCTTGGTCTAGATGGCCGAGTCGTCGACACGCCGGAAGTGACACTCGCCAAAGCGGAGCACGCGGCGGCTCACATCAACGAGAGGATCAATTTAGCCAACGAGGCACTGAAATCCGCCGATCTGATCGCCTACGCGACACCTGTGCTGGCCACCAGAGTAGAGCCTCTGGCCGTGGCGGCCAAAATTGTTCCACCAGCTCCTCTGGGGCCTGACGGTCGCGTCGTTGACACGCCGGAAGTCGCTCTGGCCAAGGCGGAACATGCCGCCGCTCATATAAACGAGAAGCTCGAACACGCTGCCGAACAAGCAGCGAGAGCAGTTTCCTTACAGGTTCCAATCGCTCTGTCGTACACGGCGCCGGTGATTCAGAAAGTCTTGGTATAAGGGTGACACGATTGGCTGGATTGTTTAGGCTGGTTTTAGAGATGCTGGTCACGTGGGATACTCTCGTTTGTTTTTTTTGTACATAATTAAGAGCTGATTGAATAAAGCGATATTTAACCGTGTAACGGAGAACGGATTATCGATTATTTTTTTTCTTCTCCTCCCTCTTTTCCTCGTTTGACTCTGATCTCTACACGCGGAATTTAAGGAATGGTGGGAATTTCGGTGACGACGAAAATTCAGAAAATGTGAACATTTGGTTGTTTCACATAATTCTGTGATTTTTTTCAATTCAAAGAACCCCAACATTCCATTGTCTAGTTTTCACGTTTCAAAGTTCGATATAAAATGGCAAAAGAAAAAAACCGTATAGCAAATTTCGAGCGATCGTTGTAAAAAAGAAGACTTCAATCTTCAAGATCGTAGTGAATTTAGCTGTGAAAAAACGTTCAGCCTGCTTTTCAACAATTCTCAGGTTTAAATTTTGACAATTTTCGAGAATAAAGATGTCCTTGCTTCTTCATCCGCTGCAAGATGTAAAAGTATCTTTGAAGAGAACAAACTAAGATTTGTAAAAATAAAAGTCTTACGCTTTCAGGTGAGACCATGTACATTGTTTTATGACTTTTATCTACGAGATTATAGCAATTCGATGTCCCAACAATTTTTCATCGTCTCATTCAGTTCGGTGATTTTCTTCGTTGTAGAAATTTCCAAAGCGTGTCGCACCCTTCGTTTGGGAACCGCTGCCTCGACGCCGTTCCTTCGTCAGGATATCAAAGAATATGAGGCAATCAAGGTCGCAGTCCGAGCCTTTTCCTGCGCCCACGAGGAGTATTGTCCGTTTCAAGAGGCAGAAATAAATTCGATAAGTGGTTTTTAGAGACTACAACGCCGACACGTTGCGATAAAGTCTGGTATCGCATTTCCATTCGTTCGAAGCTGTTCGATATATCGTTCGAAAATTGTGGAAGAAATTTATCCTGAATGTGAAAATTAAATCTACTTTATTTGATAGAAAAATATTGTCAATAATTTTACATTCTTCTAATTCAGAACTCTTTATCTTCTATTAGTCACCAACAACGACAATTTTGCGATATTTCATGAAATTTGATCAAGTTAATTTTATTCACAGACTCTCAAGAAAAAGGATAGCTTCAGTATCGAAATTTTAACTTCAAAATCTGAAATTTGAAATTAAGCTTTCAAATATAAATTAAAAAATACATTCTCCGAGATCAGTGCATGATGGATCAGTGTCCTTCGAAAGTGTTCGAGTATACTCAATTCAAAGTCACGAAATTACGATATTCACGGCCGACGAGTTTGTTCCTCAATCATATCTCTGAAAAGAGACTATTACGACATCTTATCTCGATTGAAAGAGGATTAGTTGCCTGGTAAATTGACTAGCCACATAATTTTCCCAGTCGTTTCAGAGATATCCTGACAGGCAAAAATATACCCCCTTATTATGAACAAAGATTCCAAATTTTTAAATTACATTTCGATTGTGAAATATTTTCACCAAGAGATAATTTATTGAAATAATTCTAACAATTTTACGTAGATTTAAATACTTATTGTGAATAAAGTTTTCATACACTGTCATGAATAATGATACGAAATTTTATCACAACTCTAACGACTCTGTTTTATCTTCACTTTAAGAGAAAGGTTTTTTTAGGTAAAATTACTTGAAATGTGTTTGAATATTTTTTCACAGAGATGACCACAAACAACCCATGAAGTAATATCGAAGGGTTACTCCCAGTTGATCGAAGGAAAAAAGAAAAAGGGAACGCTGACTTTCTAATATTATTTGTTACAAAATCGATTTTACAATTGTTGTTGCACCAATTGAAAATTGTCTCGAGTGATTGTGACACCTCGACAAGCAAACGTTCGCGATTTCCCAACTACACATGCAATAGAATGACAAAACAATCTTTATAGCTCTTTTCTTGCGTTTCGTACTTATTTCGACACTTTTCGATTCAATCAGTTTTATCAACATACTTTCCTAAATTATCGTAATGTTATTTTCGTCGATCACTAATACGTAATAATAATTTGTATGTGATAAAAATGATATTAAATCTCACTTGTTCGTTATTTCATAATTCTTCAACATGTATAACATATCCGAAAGTCCAATATTGAAATTTTGAACACACGGTCCAACAATCGTTGGCAGTCTTGTTAATTAATTGCTACATTTTGGACTATATACTTATAATATGAACTTCTCATGCTAATCGGTTTCTTCGATCGTGCAATCGGACTTGCTGCGCTAAAACCACAGTTCGAGAGCGGTGGAAAAATATTAAAGGAATGCATTCTTGCTGTAGATTGTCCTTCGGGCCTCGAGTCCTTCGTTCGTCCAGGGTTGGTAAGTCGTTTAACGCTTTCATACGCTGTGCTCAGAGGACAACGAAATACTGGGCGAAAGGAGAAATCAAACAAAACGCAAGGTAGATCTCGACAAGTCTCATTCCGCGAACAGTATACGCAACTTGACAGGCTTGTCCGTTACAGCCCTAAAAAGTGTACAGATTTCCTTAGAGGAAATAAAAAGAAACACTTGAAATTAAAATTTTACGTTTTCAGAAAACATTTTCGAATCAAGTTTCGTTCAGAGTTCTTCGTTTTAGTCGTTTCGTTCCTTGCCTCGAGATAGATTAATTACCCGTGGTGCACGAGCGAATTGAAAGGGAAATATAGAAAAATTATACAATAATTACGGCATTGAGCATCTTCTCACAAGCGCGAAACGTGAAATTATTTCCCATATTTAATTACAGGGAAAAGTGTCTCGGATGTAACTTCCTCTGTCACGATGTAACCTACTTCCCACGTGATGTACGAATCCCATATGCTGTCTCAGGTCCCTGATTGCCAGAAACATAGCTGCTGTCTGTCTTCTCGTTGCATTTTGCTCACAAATTGGACTCAAGTGTCTCAAGTGCTTCGATTCAAAAGTTGGAAAATTTGTTTTAAACCTAATCGGAGATTAACTTGATTATACTCGTGACTGGATGATTTATAATTTTCGTAATTTTATTATAAACACGTGTAAAAGAAAATGTACATTTTATGCAGATTTTAGTTTCGTATAAGATGCTTCGAACAATCTTCTTCTCTTTAACCGATCATTACATTCTTCTCCTCACATTTACATATGCGGTCTTTCAATTGTATACTTGGGTAACCTCACTGATAATTCTATACTCTACCAGTCCCACGCTATACACTTCTCTCACTCACAAAATATTCTGGATTTCCCAATTAATCCAATTTGTTTTTTCTCTTTTTTTTTTTCTTTTTTGTTCCTACTCGTAAGATACTTGCAAGCAAATAATAGGAACTTGCCAACCGATTGTATCTTCTCACAGTTAGACATTCTAAAGTCTGTATCTAAACCTTTTTAATTAGTTATTAATTACAATTTCAATTCTACAGCTGCTCTAACAC